AGTTGAGAGCTTTACATAACTTTTAGAAAGTTTATCCATCCAACTTTTATGAAGTCCATCCATCCATCCATCCATCCATCCATCCAGCCAGCCAGCCAGCCAGCCAGCCCTCTATTTATCTAGAGTTTATTGTATCTACCATCCATATAAACTGGTGGCATTATTTGGAGCTCTAACTGACTGAAAGTTAGAAGACAGGGGAAAGCTTTTAAAGGAAGAAAGGGTATCTTTGAACTACCTTGTACTGGCTTGTTCCTATGTTTTACTTCCGGGTGCTTGGTTTGTGCCTGCTGCCTACATTCCTGGTAGTGTTATAACACTGGCTTTTTCTCTTCCTGTCATGTGACTTGAGGTCATTGTTTGTGATATTATGCGGCTTCCTGTTGTGTGCTTGCTGCTCAGTAGTTCCCATTGTGCCATTTAAGGGTTAAATGTAGGTTCTGATCTAAGAAACCTTGAAAACCACAGCTCTAGGGTGAGATATGATCTACTACATTAAATGCTCTTTGGATGTTGGATGGTAGGAGCACTTCTATGACTTTATTATAGCTAGGAAAGGCTGGACTTAAAATGAGTATCAGTCTTCCATACCTTTCTTCTAGGTATATAATGTAAAGGGACATCTGTGCCGCATTGGGATAATAATCATCATCATTCCAGCTCTGCGAATTATAGTTCTGTGAAGGAGGGGATAGCTATCACTGACACTTGAGTATTCCTCACCAAGCTACAATTCCCAGGAATTTTGGGGGAAATCCGGACATTTAAACGGTATAAAATTGATATATGTTTATGGTAATCTTAAGTGCCATGTGTAAAGTACAAGTTGTGTATCCACAGTAAGTGTTTAAACTGGGCTGTAATTGGTTTAACTATCATGGATTCCTTTAAATTATTCAAGGAGTTTTATTTTACGAAGATGATGACCATTGGTCATTAGAGATATAATAGCTCTTCTTGGAAATTCTTGGTTGGGAACAATTCTGAAGCACTTAAATAAGTGGTTAACGAATTGTAGTAACTCCTCAGCAAACATAATTGTTTATTTTCCCCTGAGGAAAATAGACAGGTTCATAGTGAGATTGTGAACAGAGAAGGAAATGGAAAAAAGTGGGACTCTGCTGAGAGAAGGAACTGTGCTCATACGGCTTTATGTTATGGAAATACAGTTCAGAGACGTACCTTCGTGTAGAGCCCAGCTTCGTTATGAACTAAGCAAAGCTGATAGATTTCACTGTAGCTTTTAAGCAGTTAAATACTAGTTAAAACCTGCGAACATGTCCACATGCCTTCCTCTAAGTCGCAAGCTTCTTACCGTGTGGCGCCTCCTGGATTAAGGAAGATCTTTCCATGCAGATGCATAGGGGGAACCATCTGGAACTTTAGCCCTAAAACAAAGATGTAGGTATACTTGTTTCCCTTTGGGGAGGAGGGCATGCAAGTAATTCTTTGTGAAAGAAGGGAGGCAGGCTACAGAAGGAAGGGTTTGCTTATCAAGAAGCCTGCGGAAAGATTGTCCCATATGGCTCATACGATCACAACGTGGACAGGCTTCTGCTAGATAAGACTGGCTTTGTCATTTTTATGGGTGTGAGTTCTTGAAACCAGCCACTGCATTTGGCTTCAGTAGGACAGTACTATAGTCCTGAGGACATGACCCCTCTGTGTGTGTACTGTCAATGTGAAAAGAGGGGCAGCAGGCATCAAAGCCCTGGTTCCTGCCCCCAACCATCCCACAATCACCAGCTCCTCAGCACTGTGCCTATGAGCAAGGGAAGTGTTTATTAATTGTCATTTTATGGCGAAAGGTCTGAGCCGAGTGGTCCCCGAGGTGTTAGCAGAGTTGCTGGGGCTTGGTTCTGCTTGCTCCTGGTTGACAGCAGCCCGTTGGGAAATTTCCCTGTAAGTTTAAATGGCCAGCCTGCCTCTGCTTGCCTTGCCCCCCTCCAAAGGCCATTAGATACTTGCCCCCCCCCTTCTCCACAACTTTGTTGGGTCATGCATAGTCATTGTATTGTTTATTTAAAGAATTTGTATGCTGCCTCTTCAGAATCTGAGGTCCTGCTAATATGAAATGCTCTGTAGTCAGGTACAGGTGCCTTCAGCCTGGGATGGAGCAGCTATGCATATTTATTCACAAGTTTGCACCATTCATGCTTGAAGTGGGGGCAGGGTAGGGAGAGATCCATTTTGGGCCTCAAAAAGGAGAATGGGGTGAGGGGGACACGGCGAGCAACTACCAGTCTCCCCCATCCCTCACTTCATCTTTTTATGCTCTGTCCAAAGCTCTTTCCTCACCAGCCAGCTCTGATACTGGAAGAGAGGCAGGCTGGGAAGACCAGTGCTTAGAACATGGAGAGCAGCGAGGTAAAACAGGGAAGGCTTTAGCCATTCCACATAACAAGTAGGCTCCCTTGGAGCCATCCTTCCTGAGCAAAGACAAAAACGTGTGAGCTGGAGGCTAAAAAACTGTGAGCTAGCTCACATTAACTCAACTTAGAGGGAACACTGCTCCCACTCCCCGCTTCTTAAATGAATGGGACAGATCTGTGAAACAATGTGCAGTGCAGGGCAGCCCATCACTGAGCTAGGGATGCCAGCCTCCAGGTGGGACCTGGGGATCCCTCAGAATGACAGCACACCTCCAGACTACAGATATCACTTCCCCCAAAGAACATGGACTCCATGGCACTGTACCTCACTGAGGTCCCTGTCCTCCCCAGGCTCCACCCCCAAATCTCCAGGAGTTTCTCAACCTGGATCTCAGCCCTACCCCCTACTCCCGCCAGGGGAGACCTGGCAACCCTAGACACACTTCTAGCTGGGCCTGAGTCACCCTGTCGATCCCGCCTGTCACATCCAGTCATCAGCTGATGTGGTGAGAAGGATTTCACCTCCAATCAGGGAAGCAAGAGAGTGGAGAAATTCTCTCCCATGGTTGTATGGCCACCAAGATATGGGACTAAGGCACACCATCCTGAACAACCATTACAGGCATAGACAAAGCGATTAATGTTAATGGAATGCAGACTAATAGAAATTCAGTCACACTTCATAAATGGAAGATGCTATTATGCTTTTGAATGCTCTGTATGATCTCTAGCATGCCCTTCTCATAAAGAGATGATTAAACCTGGCAGAGTTAATACCGATCGCTGAAAGGGCATGTGTCGGGTACAAGCTATTGCGCGCGCACACATGCATGCGTGTAAAAATCCCATTGTTTAAATTTCTGTCACATGCTATGAGAATACTTAATTTCTTTTTATCTCTAGAGTTTTCATTATCATTTAAATTTCATTTTACATTAATTGATCGGGGATTAGCAAAGCCATTATTCAGAAATCAAACTAAGGCGAGCCAGATGCACTGAATAATTCATGGCACCCAATTATACCTTACAATCCTGGTGCACTTTTAAAACTTGCCTCCAACTTCCAGTCTGTTGTGAAATGACACATCTGCACTTAAAAGTCAAGCACCAGCCCCATGCGCTCCTAGCAGCTGTGCTCTCTGAACCTTGCCGCTTCCCTCCATACACTGTCAATGCTTTGGTGATGGGGTAGGGAGGCCAGAGAGAGAGGGAGAGGGAGAGAGAGAAAGATGGTTTTCAGAATATTGAGAAGATGTGCGAGTGTGTATTGCCTTATTCTGAAGAAAAAGGACTAGGAAGAGAAACCCTGCTGAGGGCAAAGGAAATTGGTGGAAGTAACTTGATCAGCCACAGACTGTAGGCTAGCAACCAAAGGAACACCACTGGAGCTTGGGAAGAGGATTGACCAGTTCTTTCTTCCTTATACACACGTTAGGAAATAAATGGGAGATTGACTTCCTGAGGCATGTTTCAAGAAGGAAATATCCTAAACCCAGTCCTCCTCACACATGTCCCCTCACATAAAAGAAGTCCTTTTAATATAAAATACAGATGAGCTAAAGACAACTGCCACCTCTGTGAACCTGCCTGGGATGAGATCAGGGAAAGGTATCCCTGTTTTGCAGATTCCAACTTCCAGAAGCAGGCAGGTGTGACAGGGTCTTCTCAGCAACTGCCCCAGGCAGTCGAGCTCTCCTGGCCTTTTGAAAGATCTGTTTGTTCTCCGGTGCTGGGCTAGTCTTTGTGGTCTGTCCTCTCCTGTCTTGCCATCCTCACAGTCTTGGAGGTGGTAATTTTCCAGTTCACAGAAAAGATGGAGCCAGCTGCACACAAGTTTGTTCTTCTGATGTTGCACTGTGTAGCCAATCAAACCATTTTTTACAAGTAAGAAACATCAACAACCATCACTCGGGTGTTCGATTGTCAGAACCAGGTCGTTGATACATAGAAACAGGTAGCAGAAATCCGATTCACCAGCAAGGCTTGTAAGGTTCAACATGTCAAGATTTCCTGTGTATCTGGGACTGCTTTGAATTTCCCATTTCTTATTTTAAAAAACCAGACCAGAAATGTAAATAGAAATGAATTTTTTTAAGTGGGGCCTCTTTTTACACAAGCATCTCCTTCAGTGCAGACATGGGAACGATATCCTCAAATGGTTTAGGACTGCAGCCTTTGGTGTGCACACTACCTTTTGTTTTTTCCCTTTTCCAAAATATAGCTGTATATTCGCTCTCTTTCCTGCTCCTGCCTGTATGTGTGTGTTTACTCGCCAAGTGCTTGCTGCAGCCTCGCAAACGCCGCTAGGTGGCAGTCTTTAGCTTCCCTCCCTCTGCCGGGGAATCTCCTGATCCTTATCAGGGCAGACTGCAAACTTCAATTCATTTGCGCGAACAACATGCATTAAAAATCCCCCCCCCCTTCCCCAGGGAGCTAATGGGCTGCAGCTCCCTTTATCTGCGTGGAGTGTTTTGGGCCATCCTCCCTTCCCCGGGCCAATTCTCCCTATTTTTCCCCTCCCCCCCCACACTTGGTTGAATGTGCAAAGTTTTTAATTAGACTCGCCAGACAGCCCGAGGCAGCAGTAGCGCCACAAAGTCTTCATGCTTCTCTCTGCCTCTCGCAGCACAACAAGCCGCTCTACTCCTTTGAAGACAATGCCGACTATGTCTACGACGTCATGTGGTCGCCAGTGCATCCCGCGCTCTTTGCCTGCGTGGACGGGATGGGCCGCTTGGATCTCTGGAACCTGAATAATGATACTGAGGTGAGGCGGGGGGAGGGATCGGGGGCGGGGGGCTGAGTGTTGTCGGGTTTTTTTTAAACCCTGTATTGCAAAGGTAGAAGGAAGGAGGAGAAAGAAGCCTGCATCAAATCCATCCCTCCTGCGATCGATCCCCCCCCCCGTCTGCTGCTTGTTAATTTCAGTGGAAATTGACTTCTCTCTTGTTCCTTGTGCGTTTCAAAGATCACTGGCCACCAACCCCAACCCCGCCCCAATTCCTCTCGGCCTTCTACGCTTCGAGGGACAAAGAGCCCAGTTTTCCTCCGCTGCCTTTTTCCAGCAGGATCCCTCATTGGTCTCCACGTACAGTTTAAACACTATTTCATCCTTGCACTCGCTGCCATGCTTCAAGACTCTAAAAAAAGGAAACATCCATAAGCATACAGTAAGGGAAACTTTGGGGGCAGCAAACACATGAGATCGTTGCTTATGTGTGCAACTAGCGCCATTTTAAAAAAAAATATATATATATATTACTGTTATCTTCATTAATCATTAGCACCACCACACATTGCATCTAGGCCCCATTCAGAGCATAGAGGAGACAGTGTCCCTATAGGGAAGCCTTAAAAAAAACAAAAAAACAAAGCCCAAACTTCTAGACCTATTTCTTTTCTGCCCTTTTATAGAGTTACCAACTTAGAACTGCTTCCTGTTCTCAAAGGGGAGGCCAAGAGTGGAAGTGTAGGTAACCTGCACATCTGCATTTCTGTGTGGCTCTTGGGCATTCTTCTCTTCCACCCAGGGCAAACTGCACAGTTTTCACATGCAAATTTCACCTGTGCATCCCCTGTTTTCTAAGTCTGAACATGTGAAGTGCCGCTTTCTTATTTCTGATGTTGTTCTTATCTTCTGAAAGTAATCTTTGCTTAGGGAATAGAAAAACAAAAAGGGGGGAAATAGTCTCAAATTCTCCTTTATGCTCCAGGAGAGTAGTCATGATGACTGCAGTCCTCCTAGGTACGTTCAGCTGGGAGTAAATCCCATTGAATACAGGAGGGCATACTTATGAGCAAAGAGGCATGAGGTTGGGCTGCATAGCTGAAGTCCTTAACTATGCATGGAGTTTGATCCTATTTATATCTGCACAGAAGTCCATCCCCCAGAGTTCAGAGGAACTTCTTTCAGGTATGTGTACATATATGGGATTCCATAGGTTTGCCGTTTCAGTTGGAAGTCAACTGCACAGAAATCAGTGGAATTTACTTCCACGTAATTTTTAAGGTTGGGGTTAATTCGCTACTCTTTCTGCACTGCAGCACTAGAACAGACCATCTGTAACTATTGTGAAACGATCCTACTTTGACTAAACATCACTGGAGCCTGAGTTGCCACTGGAGCAGTGCAGATGCTTCTAGGATAGAGAATGTTCTAGTGGGTCACTTCCACTGTTTAATGTCGTTTGTTTATTTTGATCTGTTGTAACAGGAAAGGTGAAGGGAGGGCTTGATAGAGAAGTAGTGGAAATGGAATAGGCTATTATTAACCTTCAGTTGTATTTTAAGATTTACATAGTACTCCTTGTTAGAGTTCTTTTTAAAATGGTTTGTTTTTTTTAAAAAAAACAGTTGCAGTTTTAAAAAGAGATTTAAAAAAAGAGATTTAAAAATCTGCCGTATGCTTCCTCTGAAATGTGCACAATTTATCTTCCCAAGTGTTCCCTTCTGAAAGTATCACCCTTGAATGTAAGTCAGTGCAAGTTACTAACCCATAAAAATATTTTACTAGTCTCTAATTTATAGCACAAAAGTAGATTTCTGTAAAGTTTCTTTGCTTAGTCATCTGGAGGTGATTTTTGTTCCCCATAGATGACTAGGCCAGTGGCTGTTTACAAACCTTTCTTAGTATCCAGGCTAATGTTTTGCAGTTTTATCATGATGAAAGGAACAGGCTAAGATTACCTTTATTTTAAAGAATAGACATTATGTCCAGAATATCATAAAAATATTTATATTTAGCTTATATGTCCATCAAATATATCAATCATAATGTCATCAGCGTTAAGGAATGGTTTGATAATGGTGGTATATTTTTATTTCCCTTTTTGAGATGGTTATTACCATTCTCTTAGATGTGAGATTTTAATTTTTGAATTGAAGAGCAGTTTATGCAATTTATACCTAAATAATCATTTATGTGTTTTTATTCTTCATCACAGGATATCCCCCCCCCAGCACACACAAACTTTTTGTCCTGTTTTGCAAACCTTCTTATACCGCAGACATCCTAAAAAGGACAAAGGCTTTTATTCCAGTAGCAGGCAGAAATTCAGAAATAGGAGTCATACTTCATTGAAACCTTGAAGCTAGAAAGCTTTGTGGGAAGATGCATTTTCTACTCGGAAATCAATATATCTTACCGTAGCTTTGTTGTGGTTCTACAAATTTGTTTCATTTAATATCAGCCTGAATTTTAAAGGCTTGCAAGATTTGCCTTCTTTCCAAGGGTGAAATCACCGAGCACAATTTTGATTTTACAGAAATTGTCCCCTTGAACTCGTTTCCTCCCTGAGAGAACCATCGTGCGGCTTAGTGTTCTAAATGTCACAGACAAGATTTAAAAATTATCTGCACCACACATTGTAAATCTGTTTTGCCGTGTGCTGAGTAGTAAACTTAACAGTTCAAACCTTGTAAGATCAGTCTTCTAAAGCATTCGGTTGAGTTTAAAACAGTATGGAAACAAAGCAAGACGATAATCTCGTGAACCGCAGAATAGCAGTGTGAGGCTATAAGAGCAGAAATTTCAGAAAGTGCAGAAAGGCTGCCTTAACAGAGCTGAGTCCTGAAGGCGATGCAGAGCTGACTTCATCAACTGCACAGAGAAGCCCACAAAGGTAGTGGATTTGTATACATGTGGACTGAAGTCCTGTGGAGAATAAACCATGTTATCAAAGCAACAATATTTTCTTCATCTTTTGGGGGGTGAGGTGGATATTAATTCCTTCTTACATGTAACTATGATATACATTTCAGTCGAACGAAAATGCAAGGACTTTTTAAAAACTGCTGTTTGCCATAAATCACCTTAGACAGGTAAGGAGGGACCAGTACAGCAAACTGGATTGTCAAGTGGAGGCGCAAGGTCTTTTGAAGTCTTCGGAGCAGGAAGCTGCAGAGCCGACTTAATTATAAAGCATGCAGCTGAAAGAGGATGAATAAGGACAGGATTTCTCTCTGGTTTTTCTTTTTTTCTTTTTTAAGGGAAGGAGAGATGGACAAATCCCCACAGGTGTTACCGTTAAGGGTATTTAATATCGAGTGCCAAATGGAAACGCTTATCATTTCTTCTCAGATGGAGAGTTCAATGAAAGGTGCGAATCCTGGCCACTGTTACTGACCTGGACCTTCCACTGCAAATGATGCATTGCAAGCGTGGGGAACTGTGAGCAGGATTGGACCCAAACCATTTGCTTGGCTTACGGTTGCTTCACTTGAACCATTGACCTGTGCTGGGCAGATAAACTTTTTCCTTGAGCATCAGCAGGAAGAAAGGATTCTGTGCAAGTGTTCAAGTGCCAGGAAAAACTAATCAGGGCTGCAGCATATTAGCCAACAAGAAAACTCTTTGCGGGTCTTCAGAACTGAAAGCAATTGGTTCTTTGATCCTTTGCCTGGCTATTTAGAACGATTAGTTTATAATGATTTTTTCCTCCAGAATGATCGAGCCAAAAGTTAAGCACATTGAAGCCCTGGTGGGTTCAATAGGAAAGTTAAGCATGTCCTTAAAATTGCTCCCATTGAAATCTAAGGGACTAGTCCTTTAGTGGGTTTTATAACATTTTTTCTTTTTCTTTTTTTTTAAAAAAATTATAACATGACTAACATATCTGACTGCTTTGTTACTAAAGGAAAGGGAAAAAGAAGAAAATGTCTGAAACACCAAGAACCTAATCCACAGCAAATTAAGCAAAGTACTTGGATGGAAATTGTCCAGCCATTTTAAACCCATGAATCTGTTCCCAAAATCATATGCATGGGGATGAGGTTGAGGCAGCAACTCCAAAGGACTGGTATCATGATTTTTAAAAGTCCTGCTGATTTATATTGAACTTGTTTTCAAATAATGCTTTTCAGATCACGGTGTTTAACAAATTAAATCCTAATCTGCAGGCATCTCTGGATTACATATCAGGCTACTAGCAACAGAAAGTAGTACAGAGTAACCAGAATAATGTCAGACATTTATATGAATGCTAAAGAAGACGTAAAGCTCCCATAATGGGTGTAAAGAGAAGCATCAACATAGTACTAGTCCACAAGCAATGAAATCAGCTACAGCACTACGGACAGTCCTCCCAGTCCTAAAATCAACAAAACTTCTTTTGGAGTCCCTGCATTGATAAATTGGATACTGGTTATTATTTTTCAAGCTGTTCTACGGACAACTATGTAGAGAACATTTATCTCACTTTCCAAATACTTCATGTGAACTGCTTCTGCATTTGGTCCCCATGATGTTTATGTGTCTTTAAATTTATTTAATAAGTCCTAATAAGGGTCAAACCTAGCCTTATTGATTCCCAGTCAGTATTTGACTGTGGGAGCAAAAATACTTCTGCATTATTTTTCTGGCAAGTTTAGATGCGAAGGTTAATTTTTGGCAGCTAGATGAATCCTGGAAGCTAGGAAGAACAAATGTTGCTAGTGGATATTAGGTCATACCCAGGGGGTCATACCCAGGCTAGATCTAAAGACTGCAAATGATATTTTCTCTTTTGTACACAGAACAGCCCCAACTTGTGGAAATACTGCTCTTCATCAGTCAAAATTTGCATAAACCTACACAATAATAGAACAGTATATTCAAAACAGAGACCATCTGAGCCATTGCTGATGCTTTGTGTGTGTGTGTTTCCATACGTTTTACTTAAAACCTAATGCAAACCCCAATATTTATGCTCCTTTATACGCTGATTTGTACCTTGCAGTACACGTATTGCATTGTGCAGAATTCCCCCCTCCCAGACAATAACACTTAACTCTTTCATTAGAATCCTTTCTGAATTGGATGGCCTGGGCCTACCCAGTGAAAGGTGCACAAGGACTGCTTTGCTTCCTATAGGGCTTCCTGGATCTCGAATTCCACAGCTCCTTTCACAGGAAAGCCAGTTGTCGCATTTGATTTATGCCTAGAAATGGATGCAGTGATTTAAAGGGGAAAAACTACTGCAGTGCTTCTTTTCACATCTCACTCTTCGTCAGATACATGCATCTGTTGGACTGGCAACTCCGTTTGGATTTCTCAGGAGCCTATCCACATTTGGAGAGTGCTTCCAAGCTTTCTAAACTAATGAATGACCACACAAAAACAATTGTGTGTGGGTGATTAATCCCCCCCCCCCAATTTTATCAGGTTTTGCAAAGCTCTCCTTAAGCCTGTTTTGTAGACTGTTTTTCAAATTATATAGTGATATACATTTCCAAGCAGGCTTCTCCTCCTCCTTCCTGGTCTTCTGTAAGTAAAAATCAGCTAAGATGTAATATTGTTTGGTCAAGTTATTTTCCTCCGTTTCAGTGTGTGGATAAAACCTGTCATTCAAGACACAATGTTACTTTAAAACTGTATTTTAAAAAATGTTTTATAAAGAAATGACTATAGAATTAAAGGCTCTGTAGAATTGTACAAGAGTCCCTTGTTTAAGCAGTACATATATAAAATAGCTTAAAGCTAAAGGCTGAATTATTTTGGATTCGTGTGTATGTGTGTAATACGAGTCATGTATTTTTGCAAACATTGTTTTTTCAAACATATTTACTTGGAAGCAAATTTCGTTGATCTTACCAACAGTTTCTGAAAGCAGGTAAGGATACAGTCTTCCAGGAATGTCTTCTGAACAAACTTAATGAGAATAGATGGAATTTGCACGAGAACATCCGTGGATGATGCCATTGGTATCCATATTTATTTCGGGGCTGTTAAAGGTAGTAACTGCAACCCACAGCTCACCTGCTGTAGGTGTATCCTTGGCATCATTCTATAAACTTCAAGGAGATAACAAAGACCTTCTACGGAACAGGTTGTTCCGGAGGTTCCAGTTGATAGTCAGTTTCAAAGATGCATGCTGGAAGATGTGTGTATACTTTGGTTTTGTTCCGCATCAGTGGCAAACCACTTGCAATATGACTGAGGAGCAGAAGTTAATAATCAGGAAGCAGATGGACATAAGAATCAACCTCAATCTCCCCCCCCCCAACTGTTTTTCATGAAAGTTGGCTTCCACAAGGCTGTCCATAGAAATAGGCTTCATTATTGTTGATAGAGAATTGCAGGTGAGCATGCCTTGGCCAGGGCCAGCAGGCCAGCAGGCGGGCAAGCTGAGATGAAAGCTTGTGTCTCCAAGATCCTCTGAGGCTTCATTTGCACCTTTCTCTCTCACCCAAAAAGTAAAGATGATCCTTATGATTCCTAGACTGTCTCCCACCAAGGCAGCGTTCAGGAGGACGAGCTGAGCATATCCCTTGCAAGTGTATCATGAGGGTTTTCTTTTAAGCAATTCTCTAGTAAATAAGGGCTGCGGGTACCGGAAGGGTGGGAATTATGAATGTCTCATTTTTTGGTCACTCTTTCTTTTGTTTCTTATGCAATTCCATCTCTAATTGTTCTTGGGCATTCAAATGTTCACAGCCCTGCAACTCTCCTCTTTTCTTGGTCCTTTGAGCTCATTAATCCTTGCCACTCAGCTGACTCATAACTTATCTTTTGATCCTATGTAAGGCCACAATGAGAAATGAATCTGTGGTGGCCTTTACATGTCTCCATGCTCATTACAAAAAAAGAAACATTTGTGTTGCTTCCTGTCCATTGGCTGTGGGAAAGTATGTTTCCTCTTCACTTTCTCTCTTCTTTCTCTTCCTTCGTACAGAATGTGAGTGAGCAACAATGAATCCTTTTCAGCCTTTCTCTTCTTCACCCCCCCCCCCCCTGGCATTCTGAGCAGTGTTAAACGGATGGGTCATTGATTGACACAAGCATATTGTTTTATAAGGAGGGGGAGAAGCCCTCACCATGTTGTCACCCTCTACATGAGACTCTTTTTCGATAGGTTCCGACAGCCAGTGTAACGATCGAAGGAGCTTCTGCCCTTAATCGAGTTCGTTGGGCCCAAGCTGGGAAAGAAGTCGCGGTTGGAGATTCGGAAGGAAGGATCTGGATCTATGATGTGGGAGAGGTACTTGACTTTTTTAAAAAATAGATGCGCTGAATATGTGTGCTTTCATTTTCAATAGAACACTGAATAGCTCGCAGGCTGCATCAGGGCTAGAAGCATTTATCAATTAATTGGTGCATTCGGTCAGCTCAGAAGGCATTCCAGCCCCTACAAAATCAGAGGGAGTTTTTGCCATTGGCTTCCATTTGAGATACCCAGATATTTTAACAATAAATATAGATTTTGAATTTTAATTCAATAATGACCCTTTTTGTACAAAAGAATGTTCAATACGGTTGACTGTCTCTCTTTCACACACACACACACAAAAGTGAGGGATCTATAAAAACTTATGGGGGATACCTCACTTTCTCCTGCATCACTCTCCCCCCCTTCCTTCTCCTCATGGCATCCCCCATATCCTCCCCTTTCCCCTCTTTCTTCTCTACCTCCTACCCACCAACCTACCTACCTTTTATCTGCTCCCTGGCTATATTTATTTTATTTATTTGCTTCTTCCCCAGTGGGGACCCAAAGCAACGTAGATAATTCCCTCTCCTTCATTTTTTCCTCACAACAACCTGAGGCTTCCACGGTAGAGTTGGGATTTGTACCAGATCCTAGTATGAAACTTTAACCATTACACCATACTAGTTTGTGTAGGGGGGCTGCTGTTGAACAGTGGCAAGCCGTCGGTCCTGGGTGAATCATGCAAGTTACATAGTATCAAGGTGACTGGTGATTGCTGGCAGGCTTGACCCCAACAAGTCCTCCCCCAAAGGAAAAAACAGCCCTGGAAATGGACCTTCCCCCTGTCCTGCCTTTTACTGACAGAAACCAAGGCTTGAAGACTGGCAATACTATTGTGGTTGACTACCAAGGGCCACAGCAGCCACAGAGAAATAGGGTTGCCAACATTCACATGAGGCCTGGAGATTTCATGGAATTACAATTAATTCCCCAGAGGATCAGTTCCCCTGGAGAAAAGGGCTGATTTGGAGGGTGGGCTCTATGGCATTATACCCTGATGAGTTCCCTCCCCTCCCCAAACCCACCTTCCTCAGGTTCCACCCTGAAATCTCCAGGCATTTCCCACCCTGGAGCTGGCAACTCTACCACCTAGTGAGTTCATTATGGAGTGAGATTTTGTGCTAAAGACTTCCTGGTTTCCAGCTCTGTCTCTTGGCCACTAGCCCTCCTGGGCCTCCTTGTTCTTATGGCCTTCCCTACAGACAGAGGATGAACCAGCCCATTCTATTGTTGGCTAAAAGTTTATGCAGAGTATTGATGTAAGGAAATCTGAAATGGTGGAGAAGAGCCTCCGAAGACTGTCATGTGAAGAGTCAATGCAATGGAAATTAACTGGTGGAATGCAGTGTGCAGCAAGCCTATTCTCCCCCGCCCCCACTCCATATTAAAATCTGACTACATTGAAGTCAGTGTGGTGTGTGTTTGATGGGATCTGCCTCTTTGTTGCTGAATGCAGCATAAAACGTGGCGTCTGCATTACAGTTCTTGGAACAGTCAAGGGTGACTCTTGGAGCAATCAGCTTTTATAGACGGAATTTGTTTTTCGTCATTATCTGTGATAGGATACCGGGATCTCCATCTCGCCGCAGTAGGGAAACATTATAGAGTGCATACAGATTTAGCTTTAACTCACACAAAAGTGATTTTATGGCCCATAGCAAAATTGCTTGAGCATGACTCATATTTTTGGCTCGCGTCTCCTTTTTGCGGGAGTTGCTTTGCTCACAAATGACTGCAGAAACATCTTGCTGTATCGTTATCATAATTGCTAAACTGTCTAAAGTCATTACGTTCAGATTGCTGCCACAGCACTGGCAGGACAGCTTGTTTTATTTATTTATTATTTGAGGTATTGTGGGTTAGTGTGTGTTTTCAGGGGGGGGGGGTTGTTCTCTTCCTGAGTGATCTGACAGACTGTGGAAATACCTGCACTGACAATAGAATCTGATCTTGCCTAAATTGCCTGGAGTCTAGACAGACTGCAGAAATGTCTTTTTAACATTTCATACTCCAAGCTATCAGAAGGATTTTTTTCATACCTTCCAGATTAACCATGGATTTAATATTTTATCTAGAATTAATTTCTTAGCATTCCCCCCACCCCCCGGAATCCGAAAGGACAATGAGCTCAGTACAAAGAGTTGTGATTGTGTGTGTGTTTATTGGTAGTGATTTAAGGCTAAATAAAATTGGATTTTAGGTGAACTACAGTTTATTTGTGGATTTCATTTACACCTCTCCTTTCTCCTCAGTGTTTTTTAAATTTTTATCCTCACAACAACCCTTTGAGGTAAGTTAGGCCCAGAATGTGTGATTGGCGCAAGGTCACCCAGGGAGCTTCCATACAGATTGGGGATTCGAACTTGGATCTCCCAGATCCTAGTCCAGCTCTCTGATCACCGTGTCACACTGGGTCTCCTACGTGTAGTCCGAAGCAGAGTTAGAAGTTCATTGAACTAACTGAGTTTAGAAAGCTTAGACTCACTGATAAAATTGCATGAAGTTGGATTCTATGAGCTTTTACACAAGAGGGAGGGAACCAGCTTTACCCAATTTCACTCTTCTTATTGCAGCCCCCTCCCTTTGCCATGGGACATTTTATTTACAAGCACCTCCTCCCCACATCTCAATTTTTTTATCGTTGAAGGGTCTGCAGAGAAGATGGGAAGGAGGAGAAAGCCACCTCCGCAAGCAGAAAACTTGTGGGAAGCAGCTCCTTCTTTAATATGTGCTCCTTAGACTAACTTATTTCCGGTTGTAATTGTTACATGTATAACATGAACAACCTCCTATAGACACAGGGCATCTTTTATGGAAACTGGTCCATACCTTCTCCTGTAAGGCCATAACCATTCATCCTAGATCCTTGTTCTCCTGTCTCCCAGACTGCCACTTCCACAATGTTGTTTTTGTCACTCGTTTGCCATTATTGCTTTGGGTCCCCCCCCCCTTCCACGTGTGTTTTGCTCCCTCTGGAACTACTAGAGAGAGAGCAAAACATATTTGGGGGGAACCCTGAAGCAATAGGGACAAACCAGTAACAAAAATGGCAATGCAGAAGGGGCTCTGACTGTATGGAAAGGTATTTGCAGAATCCACTGAAGGAGGCATAAGAACATGTCCTGTGGTTTACTAGGAACTATAAGGCTGTGATCATACACACTAAATAATCCACATTCAATCCATTTTCAATGCACTTTCAAATTGGATTTTGCCAGTTCACGCGGTAAAATCCAGTTGGAAAGTGCATTGAAAGTCCATTGCCTAAACCAAGCCAACCAAGTCGCAGCCTAAACCAAGTTTCTCTTTCTGGAATCAGTGAGGGCTGAGATACGAGACAGAGTCCATTTGTCATCTGGTTGTGTAGCAGGGCTGGTAAGCAGGACAAACGTCCAGTTTAGTCATTGCACAGGTATATATGCTGTACTTGTATGACTGATATAAACATACTTTCCAAAGAGATTGTACAGCATGGCTGCATTCAGACTTCATGGCTTATAAACCATCATTTGATTTTACTCGGATTTATTTAGACTCTGAATGCAGGTGCCAAAATGTGATTTGCTTGGTGTGAGTGAAACGGAGCTTCTAAACTGTAGTATATACCAGGTTTATAAACTGAAGTTAGTACTAACCCCTGCTTCATGCTACATTTGAATTCAGAAACTGCAGTTTGCTTAGTAACATTGAACAGAAAAGAAGGAAGAGGCCCACCAGAAAACCAGAAGACTAGAGCAGAGCCAGGACCATCCAGAAAATCCAAAAGGCAGGAATTATCCAAGGAAAGTCACCTGAAATGTATAAATCTGGTTAATAACAGTACTCTTCTCAGCCATATGAATACAGAAGAAGAAGAAGAAGAAGAGATTGGATTTATACCCCGCCCTTCACTTGGAGTCTCAGAGCGGCTTACAAACTCCTTTCCCTTCCCCTCCCCACGACAGACACCCTGTGAGGTGGGTGGGGCTTAGAGAACTCTGACACAAACTGCTCTTTTTCAAGCAAGGACAGCTGTGCCAGAGCTTGTGACTGACCCAAGGTCACATCAGCAGGTGCAAGTGGAGGAGTGGGGAATCAAACCCGGTTCTCCCAGATTAGAGTCCGCACACTTAACCACTACACCAAACTGACAGAGTCAGCTGGACAAAGTGACCAAGGAAATCTAGCTGCTCCCACAGCACTTTGCTCTGTCTGATGTTTTCTGTGCTCTCCCTACTAGTGATGATCCATCAAGCATGTCTGGGCTGCCTTTCCTGAGGAAAAATTTAAAAGGCTGTGGGACAGAAGTGCTTGTTCAGTACCCTGCTCTTGGTTCAGTCTGCCATCATATTCCACTGACGGTGCTCCCCACAAAACACAGTTACGGTTGAAAGCAGCTCACAAACTGCCTGCTGCCAAACATTCATCTCATTAAAAAGGGCGCCCCTTTCAAATCTTTTACATCCCAGGAGAGATCAGGTTTTGTGAGGGACCTGGCCACGATCATGTGTTAATTCCCAAGGTTTTATTTGAAAGAAATTGAGGTTAGAGAACGTGAAGAAATGGTAAAAGAGAAAGGGGAAGGGGGCGAAGGCTGTGAAATATCTGTTTTGTTTCAGATTTTTAAAGTTTATGGAAATCACTGAAGTGGCTAGACTAAAAGGGGAGATCTCCAAGTAGGTTTGGCCTGCTGTAGACTCCCCTGCTCATTCCCTACCCATTTACTTTGGCTGACCAATAGCAAGAAAACGGCGTACATACTGAGGTTTTGACAGAAGCCAAGCAACACAAGGGAAGACAGAACAGCTCACGCTATCATCCAGAAGGTGGAGAAGGAGCAAACTGCAGTAACTGCGGTTTACAAAGAAACCGGTCCGGTATGCGTATCTGGGAGGCTAATCTGGGTTCGTGCAGCTATCTGTGGTTGAAACCAGTCCCAGATCATTGTGGTGCCTGAACAGAGCGTATGCATCCCACTCTGCAAACCAAGTAGAATATTAAGGCTCTGTGAG